CAGTATCCCTGATGTCCTTGGGTTTCTCTTCTTCCTGAGCACCCAATAAAACCACATTTCCTACCCCCTTTCACCCAGGCATGGATAGGGCCAATGGGAAGGGGGCAGAAGTGACACGTGCCGCTTCTACTTGGCCCAGAAAAGTCTCCCCTGTGCAGTCGCCAGCTCAGTTTCCACCCCGCAGCAACCTCAAAGGCCAATGGCCTAAACCTAGTGGTCCCAGAGGATGAACGGAGCCTGGGTCTCTGAGTCACAGCTTGGAGGCGGGTGCCTGACTCACACAGGACTATGAGGTGAGCAAGGAATCAATTTGTGCTAAGCCACAGAGATTTGGGGGTTCTTTGTTATGGCAGTTCACCTACCCTAACGTACAAAAATCTTAGAGGAGTAACTGTGGGCGGGCCATTAGCATACCACTCGGTTTTCTCATCTGTGAAATGACACAAGAATACCTACCCTGCAAAATTAGGCACTGAGATAGCGGCGGGCACTTAGTAAGGTCTCAGGAATTGAAGCCACTTGACATCATCACTAAGCCTTTGCACGTGCCATTCCTGTTGGCCTTTTCTCCCCAGCCTTCGCCACTCCGGGCCTCGCTGCTCTGGGAGGCTTTCTGAGCCCCCGTCGTGATGGCTCTCATGCCTGGGCTTGGCAGCCAGCCCGAGGACACATTCTGCTGGCCTCCTTCCCCACCGCACGATTCTTGGTTTTCTCTCTGTCTGTCTGTCTCCAGACTGGGCATGCCAGCAGCCTGTGCAGAGCCTGTCACAAAGCAGGCCCACAAATGGCTTTTTTGTTTGTAAGACGGGGCTTGTCCTGCCCGTCTCTCAGGCCAGGGGCTGAGTCTGGAAGGTGAACGAGGCCCCGAGTGGCAAACTGCTGCGGAAAACAGAAAAGCCCGTCCAGGACTTTTGGGGGTTGGTTCCTGGGCCCAGAGCACCCCCTGTCTCTTGCCTTGGCCCCACTCCCAGGAGCCCTATCCCCTGACGTTCCTCTGTTTGCCTTGGCTCGCTCTGTCTCTGAGACCTGAGGACAGCAGTTGCCCAGGTGGCTGGCCCCAACCAGAGCTCAGGTGAGACCTGTACCTGGGACAAGAGCCATGCCCCAGACCCTGACGGCCGCTGGCCAGAGGTGGTTGAGGACAGCTGGGTTTGACCAGAGCCCGGTCAACCATGCCAGCTGCTGGATCCTCCCTGACTTCCTCATCTCCTCTTTCCTTCCTCCCAGGTGCAGGGGGTCAGGAGTGTGGGTTTTTCTTTGGCTCAGGTAAGGTGGTGTGGCCAGCCTCCTTTGTCCCTGTGACATGGATGCGGGGGTAAGGGCCCCGAAGGCCTGCAGGGAGCCACCCACAGGAAGCATGGGGCAGGGGAGGAGGGGGTGGGAAGGCACTGAGGTGAGGAAAGCCTGGGCCCACTGGGCCCACGGAAGGACGGGAGGGGAGCTGTGCTGAGCTCGCTGGGCCAGACCTGGTGCAGCCAGAGGAGAGGCCCAGCCAGCCCCTGCCACCACTGCCCCAGCTTTCAGAGAAGAAGAGCCCTGCCTCGGGCAGTGGGGCATGGGCTGGACCATGAGGGGACATCTCCCTCCCAGATTTCCTCCTCACTCCTCCACTGATGTTTTGGCCCTAAATAGTGCCAGAGCAGAGGGGCAAGATGTGGAATGAGCCACCAAAGTCTTTGTCCAGGAGACGTTTCCAATTTGGCACGAGGCAATGATTCCCCCCAGAGGGAGCCCCAGTTTTTCCTGGGGGGCTAATCCAGCCGAGTGAGGATGCTCCTCCTGGACCTCCCCATGGTCCCTGGCAGCTGCCCCCCGGGGGACCCCTGCCCATCAGGGACCCCGACTTCGAGGCAGCCTGGGGAGTAGCTGCATGGCTTCCTTGTCACTGAGTCCGCCTGCCCCATGAGGCAACTGCAGCCTACGGGTCACCTGTGCAACACACACTACACACGGAGAAACTGATTTCCACCTCGTAGGTCACGCAGGCACCGTGGTGGTGACGTTTGGTGGGTTTCTCAGTAGAAGTGGGACACGTGCTCTGTCTCACGGCTTCTCCCTGATGCGCCAGCTCCAGTCTGTCCCTGTTGCACTGTGGGAACGTTTACGTGGTCCTGGCCTCCTGTCCTCACTCAGCCCTGTTCCCGCTTTGCACCAAATGTCACAGCAGCAGCCTTTCCCATGTTTATTGCGATTTTTAGGCCCCGTTTTAAATGGCACAACTGCTGTTTATGTAACTGTTCTATTGTGGTTGGGAGCTTAGGTGGCTTCTGGTTTTTCAGCTCTACAGAGAATGCTGCACGGAACATTTTTGAGCAATAGTGCTTTCTCCTGCCCGAGGATGGCTCTCCAGGCGAGATTTCCAGAACTGGGGCTGCTGGCTCAAAGGGCTGCCACATTTTGAGTCATTACACATCAGGGGTGAAAAGGCGCTCAGATGTCACCTGGTCCCCCCATTCTGGAGATGAGGAGACAAGCTCCAGAGAGGGGAGATGGCCTGGTTAAGGTGACTGGCACATCTGTGGTGCTGCTGGGGACTAGACCCAGAACCTTCTGCCCCTTCCTCTCCTGGAAAAGGGGACTGAGCTACTGCGGGTGCCCCTCCAAGGAGATCTAAAACGAATCTTTACTGAGATATAGTTCATACACAATTCTCCCTCTTTGTTGAGATAGACTTTATAATGTACCATATAATCCACTCGTTTAAAGTACACACTTCAGTGGCTTTCAGTATATGCATGGGCTATGCAGCCATCACCACCATCAACATTAGAACATTTCCGTCACCCCCCAAAAGAAACCCTGTACCCTTTATCCATCACCTCTCAACCTTTGGCTCTGCTTCCTACCCCCAGTTCCTGGCAACCACCGGTCGCTTTTCTGTCTCTATGGATGTTCCCATTCTAGGGATTTCATGTAGATGGAATCGTACAATACGTGGCCTTTTATGACCGGCGTCTTTCACTTAGCGTAGCGTTTTCAGGGTTCCTCCTGTTGTCGGATGTATCCGTGGTTCATTTCTCTTTAAGGCCAAATGATCCTTGCTGGCATAAATATACAATTTGTTTATCGGCCCATCAGTGGATGAACATTTGGGTTGTTGCAACCGTTTGGCGGCCTGGAGCCTGCCTGGCCCTTGGGGGAGGGCTTCCACTCCCCAGTGCTGGCCCACTTCCCTCTCCGCTCACGAAGCTCCACCTCCAATGAACCTTTCCCTCGCAGCCTGCAGGGAAGTGCTAGGAAGCCAGCCGCCCTCCTGGGTCCATTTCCCTGGAGTGTGGGTGGAGGGCAGGGGGCGGAAGTGCCCCCGGGAAAGGTACAGGACCAGTCCGGGACTCACCTGGAGGACCTCAGGCCAGTGATCTGGGGGCAGCTGCCCCGTAATATGCAGGATCCAGCACCCAGTATGGATTAATTTGTCCATCCGTTCACTCATTCACTCACCCACTCATTCATTCATTTCCCAGGATGAACATGCCCTGATACGGGGCCCTGTGCCGGAATGAGGCCCTCCAAGAGCCATGGTCCGGTGGGGACAGAGGCCAGTGCCAAACCCGGGTGACACTGGGTGATGCCGCTGGAACCCAGGGTGGCTCAGGGCCATGGCCCAGACAGGAGGGAGACCAAACCACAGGAGGGAAAGAGGATATTGGTCTCTCCTTGGGTATTTATATAGTCGCAATGAATAATCTGACTTCATTGTAAGATTAAAAAGAAACAATCGCATTTACAATGGTATCAAAGAACAGAACGCTGACGAACAAATGTAACAAAAGAAGTGAAAAACATACTCTGGAAACCACAGAACACTGTTGAAAGAAAGCAAAGCAGATCTAAAGAAATGAAAATAGATGTCCATAGATCAGAAGACTTGATACGGTTAATATGGCGATATTCCCCCAACTGAACTACAGACTCAATGTAATCTCTATCAAAATTCCAGCTGGCTTCTCAAAAGAATGGAAAAGTTGACCCTGCTATTCAAACGGAAATGTAAAGAACCCAGAATAGCCAACACAATATTGGAAGAGAACAAAGGTAGAGAATTTCTGACTTCAAAACTTACTACCAAGTTACTTTAGCTAAAGACTGTGTGGAACTGGCACAAGGTTACATTCCCATCAATGGAGCAGAACTCAGAATCTAGAAATAAACCCTCGCATTTACATCCAAATTATTTTTTTTCAATTTATTTATTTATTTTGTGTGTGTGTGTGTGTGTGTGTGTGTGTGTGTGAAAGAGAGAGAGAGGCTGAGAGAGAGAGAATCCCAAGCAGGCTCCACACTGCCTGATGCAGGGCTTGATCCCACGAACTGTGAGATCGTGACCTGAGCCAAAACCAAGTGTCAGATGCTCAACTGACTGAGTCACACAGGCGTTCCTACATCCAATTGATTTTTGACCACGGTGCCAAGAGAACCCAGTAGGGGCAAGAATAGGTTTTCCACCAAATGGTGTTGGGACACTGGATGGCCGCAGGCAAAGAAAGAATTTTGATCCCTGTGTCACAGCACATACAAAAATTAATTCAAAATGGAGCAAAGATTTAAATGGAAGAGCTCAACGACAAAACTCTTACAAGAAAAAAGACATAATCTCACGGCATTGGACTGGGCAGTGGCTTCTTAAATGTGACACCAAGAGTACAAGCAACCGAAGGAAAAAAAAAACGGATAAACTGGACTTCTTCGAAAAAACAAAACAAAACAAAAAAACCCCATGCTTCCAAGAACACCATCAGGAAAGTGAAAAGATGACCCGAGAACCCAGGGAGAGGTGGCCACCCAGGCGCCCGTCCCCCCGTGATAACGGCGGCCTCAGTGGGAAACCTGATTAGAGACCGCGTGTACACAGTTCATTAGCTCCGCCCACAGCCAGGCTCAGACGCAGCACAGATAACTGTGCAGAGGTCGTTTCTCCCCAGGGTCCTCAGCGCCGCGCTCTGCGATGTGGGAAGTGACTTCCTCAACAACGTCCACACCTGCCAGGCGGCATCCTCCGGGTGTCAGGAGCACCTCCCCGCCCTTGGGGTCTAGACGAGATGGCCAAGAACCCCAAACTCCGTGCTCCGGGGCGGGGGGCGGGGGGGCTGAAGCCCTCTAGGAGGAGGTCTGTTACCACCGGGGCTCTATTCTTCCCCGTTTGACCCCCACACTGGTGCCTGCTCCATACCACTGCTCCCCTCCTGGGGCCCCTCAGAAGCCCCCTCATATGAAGCATTGTGGGAAGAGAGCAGATGCCTCGGAGCAGCTGGTAGTTCTGAGGAGGGGGGGGGGTCTCACCATATCCCGCAGAGCGAGTAGCTCTAAGGTGACGTTTTAGACAGCTCCGAATCTGCCCATGGGACTCCTCACTTGGCCTCCCCCCTCCCCACCGCCCCCGCCACGGCAGCTCCTTCCTTCCTCCTCCCTCCTTCCTCACCTTCTCTTTGGAGACACGTGTCCCCTGCACCCTAAGCTTGCCTTCTTTCAAACATCAGCTCCTGCCTTGTCAGGAAGCAAAGACTTTTCCAAACGAGCACGTCCTCTCTCGTCTCATCATGCCAGCTAGTGGAGCGGGGACAGTCCTGTGGCTCGGGAACAATCCGACAGCACCTAGGATACGAAGTATGTGTAACTCTGTGGCGTCCCACAGGCAGCTCCCACGCAGGTCTACAGGAGCCTTCACGAGGATGGTTCTCGAAGTGTTGTTTATGGCAGGGTAGTGTAGGATTAAATCAGCGGTCCAGCGTCAGGAGGACAGATAGGTGTGAGCCACGTGGCCGTCAGGAGCCACGAGCAAGGTGACACATCATCCCCGGGAGATCCTAAGAATATGGTGCTGAGTAAAGAGGTATGTGATGGGCAGGGGCTATACCGTGAAAACACTTCTGTGAACTGAGAGCACCGGCATCCATGAATCATACTAGATAGTTCTAAGGATACCTGGGTATTGAAGGACATCCCTGGGAGGCTAGAGGGCGCAGGGGGGGAGGAAGGACACTGAAATAAGTCTGCCCGGGCACCTCACAGGGCCTGAGTGGAGGCCTGTGCCTTGGCTCACGCGCCTGGGAAGAAAGAGGCAAGAGTGGGGAAGGGCATCGTGGCTGGAGGGAGAGGGTGAGCCGCCCCAGGGGGTGTGAAGCAGTTGCGGGGGGTGGGGCTTGTGTGTGGGGACCCAGGCAGGGCGACAGCCCTGAGGGTCAGCATTTGATCGTGCAGCCCTGGGAGAGAGCAGGGGCGGGAGGGCTAGGGAGGCATGGCCTTCCGCGTGCCTCTCTGCCGAGGTCGGAGTAGGAGGCTGAGCCAGCCAGAATTCTTGGGCCACCTCTGGCTGAGTGCAGAAGGCGGCTGTCTCCAGTGGAGGGGTGGGAGTCTTGGGCCCTGGAAGCGAGCCAAGGGATGTAGATGCTCAGAAATGTGCGGACGTGAGCAGCTCTGCAGTTCCTGGCCTGTGGCTGGCCAGCCCTGAGCCAGGCCTGTATTCTGCCTCTCTGGTATCCACCACCCTGGAGGCCAATGGCTCCGCACCAGGCTTGAGTGGGAGGGACCCCTAGGGCAGAAGTTCACTGTACGTTGACTCCAGGATGTGGAGGCCCTGCCAGGGGTGGGGGGAAGAGGCAGGAGGGGCGGGCTTCCTACTCACGTAGACACAGCCCAGGAGCTGGCCCACGGGTGGGTAGGCTCTGAGAAGCTGGAGACGTGGGTCCCTGCCTCTGCCTGTCCTTTACCAGTGGTGTGACCTTGGGCAGGCTGCTTCCCTCCTCTCCAGGGGTGTTGTGAGGTCAGGTACACTCCTGGAGGTGGAGGAACTTTGTAGCTGTCAGGTGCTGCTCGAGTGGGAGGTGGAGTGAAGGGCTGGCCTTGCAGCCCAATTCAGCGACTTCAGCGGGGCAAACGGAGTGTTCCCGGGGGGCAGGCAAGCATCTGGGCTGCAGGCTGGGTCCTTCTCTTTTGCCTGCCCTCCCAAACTAGCACCTGTGCTGGGGCATGTGCGAGCCTGGGACCGGATCCCTGCCCTGGCCAGGACGCAGGGGTGGAGCCCGCAGAGGCTTCAGCTGGAAAGTACTATGAAAAGGGTTATCACAATGGCAAGATGGGCCTGATATTTTTGAGAAGCAAATCATCTGCGAGAGAACAGGCGGTCTCTCTACATACAGCGGGCACCCCGGGGGAGTGCGGCTCACCGGAACTGCCTGCTTGTAGCCCTGAGTATGTCGTGGGAGCCACACTGGACAGCTGGCCAACGCTCTTTCCATGTGGCTCTGGCGGATGCACTCAGAGACCCGGAGACGCAGGCCAGGCCCATCTGCTTGAGTTACTTGCAAGTGCGCTAGGTCAGTGCCCCCTCCCCTGCAGCTATACCCTTGCCAAGGTCATAGGTGCTCAGTAATAGTCCTGGCCAGCATTCCAGGTCTCAGAGCCCTGGGCAGCTGCCCAAGGCTGGAGGTTTCTGCCCTTGTGGTCCCCTCCCAGAAAGCATGCTTGTTTGGAACCCTGGTTATGAAGCAGCCCAGTTGGCAGTCCTGTGAGGGGCAGGTGATGCCAAGAGAGAGAATAGAGGCCCTCCCAGGTGCCCCCTCCCAAGGGTACTTTGGTGGGGGGTGGGTACACTCTGCTCTGACCTCACCTTTCCCATGCAGGGGTTGCATCCACGGCACTGTCACATGGCCATCTGGGCTCTGCTTACATCCTTCTGAGGACAAGGAGCTCACTGCTTTGTGGGCAGCTGGGCTGAGTATTTTCAGGCAGATAGGGAGGATGGAATACAATATCTTTAAGTGCTGGGCACCATGCAGGGCCCACGGAGGTGCCCAGGTAATTTGTACCCTCCTTGCTCCCAACTGTTGGGTGGTCTTTGTTAGCAAGTCCTTCCTGGGGCACCTGAGGGGCTCTGTTGGTTGAATGCTGGGCTCTTGGTTTCAGCTCAGGTCATGATCTCATGGTGCATGGGTTCGAGCCCTGTGTCAGCACTGACAGCATGGAGCCTGCTCGGGATCCTCTCTCTTTCTCCTGCTCTCTCTCTCTGCCCCTCCCCCGCTCATGTGCATGCATTCTCTCTCTCTCAAGATAAATGGATACGCTTTGAAAAAAAGAAAAAGAAAGTGCTTCCTGTGGTGACCAGTCACTCCCAGCCATTGGAAACGTCCTTAGGCTGCCACTGGAGTGGTGCAGAGCAAGTCTCGTCCTGTGTCCTTCAAAGTGTGTAAAGAAAAGCATCATGTCATCCCCCAACCTCTTCTCTCCTAGTCCTCTCACCCTTCCCAGACTTCACACATCCTGATGGAATCCTCAGAGTAAAGCAAATCACTATTGGCCATGGTCTACTGTACCTCTCCCCACAGGAGAACGGGGCATCCGCGTCCAGCTGAACCAAGGAGGAGCCATGTTCCTTGTTTAGGCCGATGATCTGTGAGCAGAAATGTCACATGTCCCTTTCAGGCCAAAGCTGTAAGAGCCAGTCTGTGGTTTGCTCTGTCTCTTTTCCCTCTGTCACCAGATAGAATTTCCCAGAGGGGCGCCTGGGTGGCTCAGTCGGTTGAGCATCCAACTTTAGCTCAGGTCACGATCTCACGGTTTGTGAGTTCGAGCCCCGCGTCGGGCTCTGGGCTGATGGCTCAGAGCCTGGAGCCTGCTTCCGATTCTGTGTCTCCCTCTCTCTCTGCCCCTCCCCCAATCATGCTCTGTCTCTCTCTGTCTCAAAAATAAATAAACATTAAAAAAAAATTAAAAAAAAAATTAAAAAAAAGAATTTCCCAGATAAAGGCTACTTTATTAGCTTGGGTTCCAGAGCTAAGATGACATGGGTCAGAGCCACCACAAACGTGGACCATGAGCGAGAAGCCATTGAGATTTGGGGATCTTTTGTTACTGCAGTGAAATGCAGCATATCCTGATTGATACACAGTCATCTGCTAATGTCTCTCCCAACAGGATCTCCGGCATCAAGGGGATGTGAGCAGTATGGATGCTTTCTATGAGCAGGTATTGTGGAAGCATCTATTAATTCAGCGTCTTTTACAGGAGCAGCACATGTGCTCGTAACAAACTTATGAGCTGAACGTGAATATGAATGTAAACAGCTGGCGAACCGAGACGTGCTCACTCCTTGCTCAAGCAAAGAAGCACCTCTAGCTGAAGAGACCATTGTCCTTCACTGGCATTCGATTCACCCTACTGATTCTCAGCCATCTCCCTATCCTGGTGGGTTAATTTTTTTTGAACATCTTACTATGAAATTTTCAAACCTGTAAAAACGTTGAATGAATCAGATGGTAAACACCTGTGTACTCACCACCTTGATTCTGTAATTTATATTTTAGTATCCTTTACCACATATCTACCCACCTGGATATCCATCGTACCTTTTGGTAACTTCCAAAGTAAGTTGCAGACATCAGTACTCTTCTCCTGCCGCTCCCCCCAATATTCCAGCGGGCATACGTTGACTAGAGATCAATATCGATTTACGTGTTTTTGATATATACAACGAAATGTACGAGTCCCAGGTTTTGACCGACGCGAACACCTGTGTAGCCCCAATCGCTCTCAAGATAGAGAACATTACCGTCACCCCAGAAAGCTCTTTCAAGCCTTTCCCTGGTAATGTCCATCTCAACCCTCTAGAGGCAAGCACTGTTTTGATGGGTTTTGCCTATTCTAGAAACTCAGATAAGTGGACTCTTACAGTGTCAGACTTTTTTTTTTTATCAGCAACACGTTCTTGAGAGTCACTGACCTTGCTGTGTATGTCTGTGGCTTGTTCCTTTTTGTTGCAGGGTAGTGTTCTGTTGTATGACTATACCACACTGTGTTTAGGTTCCATCCTACTGATGGACAGCTAGGCCATTTACAATCGTTGGCTGTTACGAACAAACCTGCTAAGAACGTTTGTGTTTGAGCCTTTGTGTGGACATATGTCTTCATTTCTCTTGGGTAAATATTTAATACTGGAATCGCTGGCTCATGTGTAGATGTATATTTAATTTTATAAGACACTGACAGATTTTTTTCCCCCAAAGTGCCTGTATTCTCTTCACTCCCACCAGCAACGTCTAAGAGTACACCCACTGCTCCACAGTCCTGGGTTAATTCTGAATCTAGGTCCTCATTCAACGAGCTCGCCATCCTTTCTAGCCGGTGTGACCTCGGTGTTGGTTAATAGATATACTGTGGTCCATCCAACTCATTGTCAAGCTCTTGGGCTAGGATAGAGTCCCATGGCTGTGTCAGAGGCCCAGTCTGTGAATAATTAGTTGCTCCTTCATCTGTGTAAATGCACCGAGCTATAACCTGTGCCCATCGCCACCGAGGGGACCGTGAGACAGTTTGTCAAATCGAGAAATGCTATGCTTCTAACATCTTCTTCCTAATGCCCGTCAGGTACCAAAGAGGGGAAGGGGTTTGGGTTGGCATGGCCAGCGGCGGGGCCCCGCATATCAGCCACTATTGCTTCCTTCCAGAAGAGCCTGCAGACGCCATTTCCCGGTGCTTGTGAATCAAGCCACTGAATAGTTTGCGAATCTTGCTGGAGATAAAAAATTCAAGCTTAACCGTATGCGGGTCTTTAAATGTCTTCTTTGAAAATGGGTACAGAATCCCCCCGTGACTTAATCTGTTGGCACCCCTCGTGCCTCCCTGATTTTTCGAAGGTCACGTAGTCAAGACAGTGAGTGCTTGGTCGTGTCTGCAGGTTTCTGTAGTTCCTAGCTGGGGAGGGGAGGGGAAGGAAGGAGGCAGACAATGGACGTTACTGAATACCTGTTTGTGAGCTAGGTGTATGTCGTACACGAGCCATCTCCTCTCAGGTGTCATCATTCTCCTTTCAGATGAGGAAACTGGGTCCCACGGAGGCTAAATAACTGCCCGAGGCCACAGGGGGGATAAACGGCAGAGCTGGCATCTGAACAAGATTTGCATGGGTTCCGAGCTTCCTCCTACAGACTCAGAAGAGCCCTTTGGTGTCCTTGAGCATTGCTTGTGAACCTCAGACCTGTGTTATTTTGGGGGGAGGCTGTTCCAATGGAGTCGTAGGAAAGCTTTCCCACCACTGAGAGCAGTGTTTGGGCCAGCCCACACTTGATGGAGGTCAGCAGAGGACACGGGCCTTGGAAGTGAGCATTCTCTTCGTTCCTGGTACACCTGATGCAGTGCCCTGGCCTGTCCTCACTGGAGGCCAGATAGGTGGAAAGCAAATGGCCAAGTTCAGTCAATAAGTGGGCGACCAGGATCTAAATCCAGGCCTCTCTACTCCAAAGAGTGGAGGGTGAACTCACCCTGCTCATGCCTTCTGCCACGATGTGAGCCCATTAGAGTTATGGCAGGCCCAGGTGTCTGATATTGGGGGGTCCGCTGTGAGCCCAACGGGCTTGCCCAAAGGATCTATTTCAGCATGCTCCAGGGAAGGGGTGGGGATGATGACCTAGTCCTGGGAGATGAGATTATTCACCGGATTTCAAGGTTGTCAGTCACCACCACCCTGCAAATCAGGGAGCATCTCGAGGCACCATTTACTTCTAAATTTGTGAGAGGGAGGTGGGATTTGGGAGGGCAGGCCTGAAACGTGACAATAATTAATTTTGGGAAAGCGACTGCGCATCCAGAAAGACAGCCTCTCAAGTGCCCCAGAGGGCAAGCAGCCCTTGAAGGTAGCAGGGCCAGGGGACTGGGACAGGGAGAAAGAATGTTTGCAGGCATTTCAGATGTTTGCAGGGTTTGGCCAGATTGCCTATGAAGATGAAGGACTATGGCATTATTGCCCAAAGCCTGGCATGCAGCAGGCACTAAATAAGACACTTAAGGTCAAAATTGTACACGTCGTAAACAGAGCCATTTTCTGTGGGCTGTTAATATTTCTTGGAAGGAAAGGTATAGCAGAGGGACCCAGAGGGTTCCCTGGTCCAACAATGATGCCTTTGTGATATTAGCTGTTAGCTGAGCTACTGGCCCTGGGAAACTGGGTTTAGAGGGTTTCATTCAAGTGGCTAGGGATGAAAACGCAGGGCTGTTTGGAGTCTGGATGGAACCAGAGGACAAGTTGTGCATGTGTCTTGGAGCATGAGTAGGGCAAAAGTACAGAGGGTACAGGCAGCCCGTCCCTAGGGCTTTGGGGGTGGAGTGGGGTATCCTATAGGCTCCTTCAGTCTGGAGGGCCCCCAAGCCTTGCTGGGGTTGCTCGAGCTTCCCTCCACTCTGAGAGAAGGAGTGGACACAGGGACTGAACAGGGCCAGGGAGACCTGAACCCTAGGGTCCAGCTCTGTGCGGTGCCTCATGGCCCACGTGAAGCGGGGTTGACAAGGAGCCTGATCACGTGAGCAGGAGCCCCATGGCAGAGTCCTGCGGGGAAGGGCACTGGGCTGGGGAGATGGGGTTCCAGTTAGGGCTTCATTATGTCTTCTGAGCGTTCACAGACCCTTCTAGTCCTTTGTGCCCTCAGCTGTGAAACAGGGACGATGATGCCAATCCCTGACCTGACCAATTCACAGAGCTGATGGGAGGCTAGAAGGAGATAATAGGCACAGCTCTGGTAGGATATGGAAGGTTGTGAAAGACCATTGTTCCTGCCATAGCAACAAGGATCAGGGAACTCAAAGGCAGATTGAAATAAATTATCCAAACTGAAGAGCACAGCAGACAAAAATTTTTAAATGTTTCCTTTAAAGCCATAGGAAAGCTGTGGACACACACACACACACACACACACACACACAGTCCAAGTGAACTAAATTACAGAGAGGGCAAAGCCTTTCAGGAGAGAAGAGATTGGCAGTTGCTTTCATACTGCCTGGGGGGGGGGGGGGGCGGTGGTTGCCTAAACTGGGTAATGGAGGAGCAGGCCTGACAGGTGGAGGGACTTTCCTGGGAAAGGAGACAATGTCCAAACTTTCAACAACCAGGTGAACTTGTCTGGTATATTAGAGTCTAGAGGAGCCCCCAAAGATAGAGCTATCCTCTGCGAGCTGGCCTGCCAGTTTTTCTCCAGGGAGCTTTGGCTGAATAAGCATCAGCCGGGGCCAGGTCTGGAAAGTATGAGATACATGATAGATTAGATAGATAGATAAGCAGATAGAAACATAGATAGAGGGGCACCTTGGTGGCCCAGTCGGTTAAGCAGTCGACTCTTGATTTCAGCTCAGGTTGTGATCTCTTGGTTCGTGAGTTTGAGCCCCATGTTGGGCTCTGTGCTGAGAGCATGGAGCCTGCTTGTTGTTCTCTCTCTCTCTCTCTCTCTCTCTCTCTGTCCCACCCCTGCTCATGCTCTCTCTCTCAAAATAAATAAATAAACATTAAAAAAAAAAAAAAGAAACATAGGTACACACACACACACACACACACACACACACAGATATCTCACGGTGCTTAGATCCAAAGCCCTGATGGAGGGGGATGGGACCTGAACTCACCCTTGAAATATTAAAACCTCAGTGAACTGAAACTAACCCAGCTGCCATCTTGCTCTACTCTTGACAAAGACCAATGAGATAAACCCCTCAGGCTAGTAATCTGTCAGGAAATCCAAAGAGAACATCAATGAAAACAAGAGTGGGTTCTTTGAAAAGATCAATAAAATTGATAAACCTTTAGCCAATCAAACTAAGAAAAAAAGAAAGAGGACATAAATTACTAATATCAGAAATGAAGGAGGGTTCATCACTCCAGCTCCTTTATTAAAATTTTTTTTCAACGTTTTTTATTTATTTTTGGGACAGAGAGAGACAGAGCATGAATGGGGGAGGGGCAGAGAGAGAGGGAGACACAGAATCGGAAACAGGCTCCAGGCTCTGAGCCATCAGCCCAGAGCCCGACGCGGGGCTTGAACTCCCGGACCGCGAGATCGTGACCTGGCTGAAGTCGGACGCTTAACCGACTGCGCCACCCAGGCGCCCCTCCAGCTCCTTTATTAAAATGATAATAAGGGAATATTATGAGCTGACCTATGCCCACAAACTTGATAATCTATGCAAAACGGACCAATTCCTTGAAAGATACAATCTGCCAACTCATGCACGGTGAAATAGACAATCTGAATAGGCCTATATCTATTAAAGAAATCGAGTCAATAACTAATAACCTTCTAAAACAGAAAGCACCAGGCCCAGATGGGTTCACTGGTGAATTCTACCCAGCATTTAAGGAAGAATTTATACTAATTTTCTACAATTGCTTGCGGAGGATAGAAGCAGAGGGAATACTTCCTGACTCA